TGTTCTCTTGTGTGTGAGAGACTATTTTCCTAATACTTTACCAGTTCACTAGTTCGTTAGGAAGGTTAATTCGTCAAGATGACAAAATAATTTTTCTGATTCGTGTATTTCAAAGTACGTTAAGAACAATAGTACAGATATGATCCATATATCTTACAGTACGGTAAGAGCAGTTAGTAAAGACACCATCCGTATACTTGAGAGTACGGTTAGAATAGTATAAATAAATTGTCTACTCCTGTATTTCAGAGTCCGGCAAGAACAGTAGTGAGAAAAGGTTTATTTTGTACTTATTTTGATAGGCTTTTGAAAATTGATTTATTGCGTTATCTTATCGGAGTCTGTTTTGATTGTAGATAAAATATGGCGAAATTTGGACGCGATTTTTGGTCTCTGAGATATCGCCCTATAAACAATTATGCAACCTCTGCTAAGAAAATTATCGCGTTTCAAAGCAATATCCATGACCAGAAGATGCTAGATATAGAATTAAATATAGATAATAGTTGGTTGTAACAAATTATTTTATGAGTTTGAAACCTGTGAATCTATGCTTGTGTTAGCTAGTATGGAAGCATTACTAGTAGCCGAGATCCTATAATAGAGACACTATAATAGAGAAATATGCACTAGAACGCTACAGTAGGGAGGTAACAAAACGTCTATGAAATAAGCACAACAATGAAACATGTGATAAGATTTGTTGGTCTGAAAGGAAAGGCTTATTAAGTTTAGCTGATAATGATTTAAAACAAATAACTGAAATGAAACGGTCAAGTAAAGCATCCTTGGCTGCATCTAGACGTCTAACACTTGGTGTTCACAAATGGGCAGTGTTTATTACTAGCATATTTGGGTCACATCTTTCTTTAGCAGGTTGATTACTTTCATATAGAGGTCTTTTCCCACCATCTACTTGAGTTTAGAGACCTTAGTCTCTTGTGGCGTTGATTATACAGGCATATCATGTTACCAAAATAAAATAACAATCTTATCAGCATTTAATTTTAACCGAATATTCGTCTTATCACTGGTTGATTTAATTCTTTCAAGTCATACATGCATCAACGGTGTTCGTTAGTCTCTCTGAATACACTGTGTATACTTTGTGTTATATAAATAAAACTAAATACGAAACGAAGTGTATTTTTATCATGAAAACCTTTGTGTTATAAGAATAACATTCTGAAGCTGTATCCTCTCAATTCGTACTTTGAAATGTAAAAATAAGATAAATTAGAACAATAATATTTTCCCGACCAACTCTTCTATTTAGCTGATTAAAATCACGTAAAACTCACCAGAAAAAAAAAGACCCAATGGTTAGCGTGTCGGGCTGCCCATCAAGAGGTCAAGGGGTTCAAGACAAGATGCCACTGAACTCACACTGCATTTAAGCTGTGAGCTTGTTGTAAAATTCACAGTCTGTTCAAAAATCCCTTGTGGCAGCGAGTGCTGTCTGGGTGTCTCCTTCATGTCACTAGTTCGAAACTAGAGATAGTTATCCTTCAATACTAGATGTCACAAACGTTCCCGTTAAGAATAAGGTAATGTTTAGGTTGAAAGTATTCTTTCACCCTTATCTGATGTTATTAAGGTTATAAAAATCAGTTATCTGAAGGAATGTAGCGTTTGTGTTGCATGTAAAAATTCTGACCCATGTCTGTACACAGTATCCACAAATCTGTTTACAGTTGCAGTCTATACATAGTATCCATAAATTTGATTACAGTCGCAGTCTGTACACAGTATCCATAAATTTGATTACAGTTAAAGTCTGTACACAGTATCCATAAATTTGATTACAGTTCTGTAACTGTAATCAAATTTATGAATACTGTGTACAAACTGCAACTGTAATCAAATTTATGGATACTGTGTACAAACAGCAACTGTAATCAAATTTATGGATACTGTGTAAAGACTGTAACTGTAATCAAATTTATGGATACTGTGTACAAACAGCAACTGTAATCAAATTTATGGATACTGTGTAAAGACTGTAACTGTAATAAAATTTATGAATACTGTATATAGATTGCAACTGTAATCAAATTTACGGATACTGTGTACAAAATGCAATCAAATGTAATCAAATTTATGAACACTGTGTACAAACTGTAACTGTAATCAAATTTATGGATACTGTGTACAGACTTTAACTGTAATCAAATTTATGGATACTGTGTACAGATTGCGACTGTAATCAAATTTATGGATACTATGT